CAATCACTGTAGGAATCTTAAAATTTCATTTTGTAATAACATGATTTAGTAATATTTCAAAGTTTTTTCATGATTTTGTACTCATTTTAAATGTAAGAGATGTAAGAAGTTTTAGTTGATGAATTGGATGTATTGTTTTGGTTGGCACTTGAATGGAGGCTTAATATTTTTGGGCCTCAAAACCAAAAGATTGGGTTTCATTTGATTGACAGGGCTGTGCAATATTTCCACTTATGGGTTTTGAACTTACCTGGTTTATTCTCCTTATCCGGCGTGCTGTGAAACCCTAACATGGCCCGGAAGCTCCTCCAGATGTACTCTCCAAGCTCTTGGTCATGGCTGACGTCCACGTCGGCGGAAATGGCGTCACAGACGATGGTCATGAGGAAGTTCATCAGGAGGATGAAGATGCAGATCATGAACGAAGAGAAGAAGATCGGCCCGGTGAGAGGGTTGGAGTCCAACATGTCCTGGGCGAAGAACCTAGAATCATAACATACAGGAATTTATTGCAAGGCAATGCCCTTCATGGAGACACCTGCTTAGGCGTTATAAAATGTGTTTCGTTATCAAATGATCATTACATACGTCTTAGTAAACTAACCTGCCAAGCATCATCTCGAAGAGTGCAAACGTTGTGTGGTACAGGTCTGCGTAAGGTTCCATGTGGCTTCCGAATATGAGGTGTGCTAAAATCAGACACAGGCAAATTAGGCGTTAACATCAAACATCGTACAGTGAGCCTGGACAAATTCTTAACATAACTTGTAGTTTAACGACAAGGACTTTAACCTGCAATCAACATTGCAATTTTGGATTGCTTAAGGTTCAACCAAACTATACTAAATATTTACCCGAGCTGATGAAGGCGATAAAAGCGATGGCGGCAACAACCAAGAACGACAAGAGCTCCTCCTTCATGATGCCGGGAAGAGCCAGGAGTTTGCCGATTGTTTGACTGAAGCGGACGACGCGAAGTAGGGATATGGTGTTGAGGAAGACAACAAGACCCAGGATGTGTTTAAAACAAGAATCCCACCATGCAGCGGTTTGCAGTTCAACAAAGCGTTCAAATCCCAGATCACCTGGTAAATAAACCAGAGTCTTTGTTTAACCAAAGTCAACAATTAACAATTAAATTCAAATAAAAGAATGTAATGTATCATATAAATGTGTAACATACCGAACATTCCATTCAAGTTTTTAGTGCAGAATTAAGTTGTTTGTAAAAAAAAATCCTATAAATGATTGTCTAGGGTTATCCAACTACCATCGACATGTTAACGTACCGTTACTTTTGGCCACCACTGCAAGTGTTTCCGATGCCACCACATATCGCTTGATGAAGACGGAGATTATTGTGGCTGTACCGATGAGGCTAACGCATCCAAGGGCATTCCATTTCGACGTGAAATATTTCCATCTATTCTGCACTATTGCTTTCAGTTCGTTACAAAATATGACGAAGAACAGAAGTGTAAATAGGATGTGCATGAACAAGTCGACAAAGTCAGAATCAGTTTCGTACTGAAACAATCTGAATGAAGTGATTGTTGCTGTTGGAATGAGATGCCCTACTCCGGAACGATTGATGACCATGTTCACAACACTGAACAGCTTCAGGCTGGGATTGTAGAAGTTTATGGCGATTGTAACGGATTTTGTGAACTTGTCGAAAAACTGGTTGTCTTTCAAGACACCAAAGAATGATACAGCGGAGTCATGATTCAAGGGAACGTCAAATGAATGGTGATTTGTGCATTCGGGTGTGCCATTTGGATAAGAGAACACGTCTGTGACATTAAATCGCCAACAGTTACCAGACACGCTCCAGCCGATGCTAGCGACAGACGTTGAACCTGCAGTGATGGACATAATAAACATTCATTTTTGACTATAGTATGTACTCAATTGTATTTGTGGACAAGAAAAATCTGACCATAATAAAAACGAAGAAGTTTCGATGTTAAACAGTATTTCAAATATCTCAAATACAAAGGAAGAAGAAGTAAATGTCTTCAGACGTACCTGGAAGTTTCCTAACTTGTGTCAGACGTGGAGGACCGAGGCGGAAGGATCCCGTGTTGTGTGCAAACTGTCGGTCTAAGTACTTCATGTCCCTTCCGTTGTACCAGGTAGCTGGGTAAAGGGTCGGCAGCAGGACGTCCTCAGTCCACGCGTAGAACTGGTCCGGAGTTTTAATCTATTGGCGAAATGTATAATTATAATTAGTACATTGTTATAAGGTAGGAGTAAAATATTAAAGAAAGTGAAAATTCTCTAAAACCAGTTCAGTGCCCTTCAACAACAGCCAGGTTTCCAACTCTTGACAATTTTTAAATTACTGAACTACGTATGCTACTTAGCTTGAACATGTAAAGGCCTATGCTTAGGTGAACACTTTTCCTTACATCCTTTACTTACCGTGTCATATTCTTGCAGAATGTTGTTCGACAAGGACTGTGTCTCATAAAAAGGCATGTTGGTCTTTATCCGCCTGGGCAATGTAGAAGAGGAGCACCACGAAGAGAAGCAAGAGAAGAAACTCCTTCAGTGCAGAAGCTGACTTCTTATTCAGTTCCTTCTTCTTCCTAGCCGATTTCACATCAGGCTTGGCAGGTGGATAGACCTTCTTCGGTGCTGTAGAGGAAAAGGTATAATTTTACAAAAAATTTGGCACAATAAAAAAAACATAACATACACAATATTGAAGTTGATGAAACTTTCTGACATAATTTGCATTGTATTCAATACAATAAGGTGTTACGTCATATCAGTGTAATACATGAAAGTATAATGAATTTTTGCCTGTAGAAAACAAGAAGCATTAAAAGTTCAGACAACATATTGAGAGAAATCAGCCACCGGGGTTTAAAGTTAACGTCTTAAACTTCTAACCTTTCGAGTTCCACAGGTTCAGCTGCAGGTCTTCCTTCAGAATAACTTGCGGCTTGGTGAGGAACGGGAGGCTAAAGATGGCAGCCAGACCCACAGCAAGGACAAAGATCTACGGGGAATAGAGTAAAATATTTATTTCTTGTGCCTTGCATGGATATCGTCTTGTTCACTTTTTAAAAATTTTTTCGATCTTTTTCAATTTTTCAATTGAGCCTGTTCGGCCCAGGCCGAAGAGGTCCCGGGTTCAAATCCTGCCCGGTGCCACTGATCTTGTGCCTTTGGGAAAGGCACTTTACACGACTTTTCTCACTTCAACCAGGTGTAAATAAGTACCTAACTTCGGTTAGGGACGTCCCTCGGATATGACGTTAAATGTAGGTCCCGTGTTTGAGAGAGCCACTCCCCACGCACGTTAAAATAACCCAAGCACTTATCGAAAAGAGTAGGGGACCTTCCCGGTGTGAGTGGTTCAAACCTTACAGTCTGGTATTAGGTTTGACATCTTGAAGAGGTGATAGTCACCTGTTATGCTAATCCTTCCACAAATGTGGTAAATCTTCTTAAAAAATAAAATAAAATGAAAAATAAAAAGAATAATAATATTGGTAAAAAGAGACCTCTTCTTCATCACAAGCCAAAGGATTAGTCGTACTATATCATTAATTATTTACCTGGAGAGTGTCCATGACACAACTGGACCCCATGAAGGACAGAACAAAGGCCTTCATCCAGGCGTCACTTTTCTCCTTCCCCCAGTCCATACTGTACAGGAGGACGAAGAACGCAGAACTGGTGGACACCAGGAACACGGTCACCCACGCCATGTACTTGGCCAGGTGGAATGTTTTCTTCAAATACCCTAATAGTCAACATATATGTTTAGAAGACAATGTGAAGGAATACTGTTAACTACATAGCTGGCTCTACAACTTAAATTTACAGAATAGTTATAATCAACAGTATTAGTGTTATTCTTTTGTTACAACAGCTGCTCTCCTCACATGTATATTTCCCATGTTCACGTGCCAGCAGTTTTCAGAAGTCAAGCTGCGAAAAAAAATTATAATCTTTCTAAAAGACTGTCACTTGGCTCGTTTATAATGACAAGTAAGTTACATACAATAACACTAGATTTTGAAAGTAAAAACACAAACGAGCGTTCACATGATGAAAATTAATCCACATTTTATAGTTTTGCTATTACTGCTCCATTTTCATACCTTTCTTGGACGGGCGGATGGACATCTCCCGAGTGTTAACGGACAGTGGCGCCTCCATGCGGAACAACTGCAGAAGTACCAAATTGACTGGCAGCACGGTCAGGACAGTCATGAGACTGATGTACAGCTCCTATTAAAATGTAATTAACACATAATGAGGCTCTGAAAACAGATTACATATTATAGTATAATTACTAATCTATGGTATCTATGTAGCTATTCTATGTTTTAGTATCTAAGAACAGCATAGGCAACTAATGCAATTGTTTACAGAATGCTAATGTAAAGTAAAGTAAAGTAAAGTAAAGTAAAGTAAAGTAAAGTAAAGTAAAGTAAAGTAAAGTAAAGTAATTAAAGTAAAGTTAAGTAAAGTAAAGTAAAGTAAAAGTAAAGTAAAGTAAAGTAAAGTAAAGTAAAGTAAAGTAAAGTAAAGTAAAGTAAAGTAAAGTAAAGTAATTAAAGTAAAGTAAAGTAAAGCTAAAATATAAGGTCAACGGATGAATATTACCTGTATGGTGAAACGAACAAACCCCAGGTTCAACACTCTGGTGTCGGCAGTTGTGTTTTCTGCCTTGTACCACATGGCGCTGGATAGCATCATGGTGTTCAGTAGAGTAAAGCAGCAGGACAGACGCTGGGCCTTTGTGAAGATTGAACCTACTCCGGAAACAAACAAAATAACATGAGGATAGTGTAATGCACGTTTTTAAAATTGCTTTTTTTTTTGTGAAATACATTAAAATTATTGTTCAGATTTTTATGACAGAAAACAGCACCACTGTTGTCACCTTATCATTTCATATGAATATTTCTATTTATTTGAATAATCATACATTTTATGTTCAAATGTATCTATTAACATTTGTTTTAAAACGGCCCTTAGTAAAGGTATTGTGGTCTCCACCCTATGCTGCATGCCACATCTGGTACACATTCTGTAGAACCTGGGTTCGCCTCGTGTCTGGACACGACTTCAAAACAGTAGCATCTTCCTTACGTATGGGGATGTAGGGCCGGCGGTTTAACATATTTTGGAGAAAATATGGACAACAAGAAGGGAGGCCCGGGTATGTTTGACTACCTTCAAATTCGAGCAGTAAAGAAGCTGCTTTGCACCAGTAGTTACTTCAGAAAGAGTCATGGTTTACATCAATTGAGGATGGCATAAGAAGAGGAAGCTTACCCGGTGCTGCTACAAGGGCAGACGTCCAGAGCTGTTTATCGTAGAACACGTCTCTGGTTGCCTCATTGAAGACATTGGTAAAGGATGTCAGATCCTCTTCAGTACTTGCGTGAACCACCTTCTGCACTTCACCGTCCCCCTTTTCTCTTGATAACCAGTCATTGCAGGTGAAATACGATCTGAAAAAGATTACGTTGAATTGATTTATTTGCATATCAAGTGTGTCATGCTACATTTCCTTTCTATGACAGAAGAATAGAAGTAGCTGATAAAACAAACATGCCAGTTAGTTTTCATTCATGAAGCAAATAATCAGTCAAACTAACTCGCGTTGTTGTTTACAATTAAAGAGGAATTGTTAAGTTTTAAAACAAGCACTGGTCTTCCAAGGCACATTACTTTCCACAAACCCAACATGCCAAGATAGGATGAAAGGCGGACTTCAGAATTGCCTTTAGTGTAAAGAAGAAACCAAACTGGCAGAACAACTTTAATAAAGATTTGTCGGTTTGTATATGTCTTTTTGCGTCTTACACCACGTCGGTTTCTATATCTCTGACGACAAAACTTCCGAGGAACCAGGATGCCGTGTCTCCTTTCCCAGAGTTATCATGCCAGATGCGCAACAACAGCACTTCTCCAAGTGACTCTCGCACAGGCATGACAAAATGTAAAGTGCTTCCGCGCACCAAAGCCTGTAATTATCAACGGTAAATGACATGAATTTGTTTTCCTTTCTTCTATTTCTCCCTTGCATTAAATTTACATAATTTCAAGAATATCAAGAATTTTGCTCAGATATTCCCTGAAACCAACAAATGATAACCAATATAGTATTGTTACTTTTGTTATAGGCCTACATGTAAGATACCTAGAATATACATTTTGTAAAAACAAATGCATGTAACTTATACATCACTTTTCATGTATACATCACATAGGCCTACAAGACATTAACTAATCAAATCAATAAGAAATTTAGTACAGATGATTTGGCATTCTATTATAAGTTATTATCATTAATAGTGCATGGATGGCATGACGTTGCACCCTACCCATATTTGTCAACATAAAAAAACGTCAGGAACATATAAATGTGACACAAATGTAATTAGATAATGAACAATTTAGCCCATGTAAAAATGTAATTTATGGTGCAAATAAGTGGTAATGGTACAAATCAAGGTTAGGAGAAAATCATGAATACTGAGAATGTAGCTATATAACACAGACCTCTCTGTTGGGGTTCAGCATCTTGACTGGGGATGTGGCCTCTGACCCGAAGAGTTGCAAGCCGATCCGTGAGGTAGTCCCTGCCCCGAACATGGACCCGGTGGTGACCGTGAGTTGATAGACATGACGTGCGACCATCCTGTCAGGAGGGACCAGACTCACTTTGCACAGCGGCTCACTTCGGTTCTTTGCTCCTCCACTTGCTCCGGTAATGGGGCTTATCCAGCGGGCGAATGGACGACGAAGGGCCTTCTAATGATGTGAAAAATAAACTCTTAGCCTCTACCTTAACAAGCTACTTCAATTTGGGTTAATTCAGAACATGGCAGTGGTCAACAATAGAGCTGGACATTTTAGCTGATTTTTAAACCAGTTCTATTATCAAACTTTAGCTATTTAGCAGGTCCTTTGTTTTAGCGCTGCACTTAAAAATGAATTTATTGAACAAATGCACAGAAAATAAGATTTTTGTATAGGATGGCCAGCGCCTG